GTTTGAAACATTTAGAGTTAGAATGGCTTCAGGTTTAAGAACAGAACCTGCAAAGTCGCCAAAATGAGCAAAGTTCACCGTATCATCTTTAGTGCTTCCTTTCATCATTTTCACCAATTCGTGTTGTATCATCTCAGACAAACTACGATTCTGCCATTTTTCCTTCATTTCTTGATTGGTTCCAAGTGGAGTATCAGCCATATTTGAAAATTTCATAGCTCCAGATCTATGTTGATTTTTCAACTGCTTGAACCAATCTGGATATCCTATGAGTTTGAAACAACCATCCTTATTGTGACCGTTAATTTTGCAATGTGTGCAATACAACAATTGTCTCTCCTTCTTTACCATTTCATAGTTTTTTCCTCCTATAGGTCTAGCTACCTGATCTCTCTTCAGAGTGTTTGTTCTAGAAAACATAACACTCATTTCAGTCTCATGACCAAAGGCTATGTGCACCTCTTTCTGTTATTCAATCCTTTGAATCATAGTATAGGCCTTGTTTACAACAGGTAAGGGCTCCATTACTAAAATTTGACCTCGGATTTGTTCATATTCCTCACTTAATCCCATAAGAAATTGCATCAACCTATTAAACGAGGTTATATCTGACACTGCCTTGGCTGAGCCACAGGTGCACTCAAGCAAAGGCAAGAGATATGTTAATTCATTCCACAGACCTTTCAATTTCGTGTAATATTGAGATACTGATTGACTACCTTGTGTTATTGAGCAGATTTCCCTTTGTATCTGGTATAGCTGTAGACCATTACAACCACCGAATCTCTCTTCTAACTCATTCCAGAGCTCTTTAGCAGAAGTAGTGTATAGGAAAGCATCAACAATTTCTTTTGAAATTGAATTTAAGATCCACGAAGTTATCATGCAATTGACTCTATTTCATTTCACAAATTGAGGTGAATTTTTAGCTGGTGTTTCAATAGTTCCATCTATGAACCCTAGCTTCATTTTTGTACCAAGTGCGATTTTAATTGATCTGCTACAAGCCAGAAAATTCTTCCCAGTGAGAGGCACAGTAACAAGTGACATCCCTGGGTGATCTGAGTTACCTAATTGAAGTGGATCTCCTTCATCGACTTCGCGACGACCTCCATTTCGTTGAACTCCAATTATTTCTGAATTATTTCCCTCTTCGAATTCATCAGCCATCTGAACTGTAATAGTTTGAATCACTAATAATCAAAAAAACATAAGATCCTAACTNCGACGACCTCCATTTCGTTGATCTCCATTTATTTTTGAATCATTACCTTCTTCGAATTCATCAGCCATCTGGACTGGAATGTTTCGAATAACTAATAATCAATATGCATTACTTCAAGATCTTCTTTCTCTGATACCATGAAGAAATCGAGATTTG